TTCCTCCGAATTTCAGTACTACAAATGGGATTTACAATAACGGTGTATGTAAAGGTATTGAAAGCTCTGGAACGATAGTACAATCGTATTAAAATCGTACTTAAACTTTTTATGAAATATTATAGAAGTCGCGGATAGTTAACACTTCTATTTAAAATAAAAAATTTATAACGTGACTTCATTTTTAAGGAACAAAAAAATCACAAATTAAAGATGAAACTCGTCAAAAATTTTATGAACATATGTGTAAACTTATAATTTTGTAGTTTCATAATTAAATAAAATTAAAAATTTGTCGAAATTGTGCATACTAAATACAAAAATACGTGCGTACGTAATGAATTACATGTAACGAAATTGTAGTAAAGTTCAATACGATTGTAATAAAGCATAAGCAGGGTATCTTCCGAATTAAATCTACGACACGTCAAACACATTGTATCATCTAAAATATCAAAAAAAATTTGACGATTTGCTATGTTCAGAATTTATTTGATGTCTCCAACGTTGTTAACACTGAAATATTTGTCAAATTGTGGCCCTTATTATGAAAATATACGACATGCGATTTAAATGCGGTCTTTTCATAAACACAGCATATCGCGATATATAGGAAAAAAGCGTGCTCGATTTTTCCGATACCCAATTTACTTTTATTTTACGTATTCACTACGTATAGAACGCTTTTGGGAAAAGTGTACAATATCAAGAGCTTTTACTAAACTTTTTGGAATGTGATACTTTGTAAAGTTTACGTCGTAAGCGCATTATTGACGTCACGGAGTATTTCACATCGGCTCACTGCACAATATTTTAAAAAATACTTTCAGTTTGGTGGGTTAATAAATTACATGTAAGTGCATACTCTCGGGGATTTTAAATTTGTACCATTACGTAATGTAATTTGAAAATTAAGTTAAAAAAAAACAGTTTTTTCGTAAAATTTTTTTTTAATTTAACTATTTTATATACGACTTTTGCTGCTTTCGCACACGCAAATTTGTGATATTTGATTTACATAGTGTCAAAATTTAAAATGCGAGAATCGTTTAGCGAAAAAAACACTACATAGTTGGCCACCAAGTCAAACGTAAGTTATTTTAACGTATTCAATGTACCAAGCCATTGCTCGATAATTTTCAATCCAAGTAGAGAATACAACAAGTCCGAATATATCTAGGATTTTCTTTCAGAACATGGTATCTAAATTTTTTTACAAAAAAAGTTATGAATGCAGTATTTCGTTTATGCACGCTGCGTTGAAAGTTAGAACTAAAATTTCTAACTCGCAGCGGTAAACAGTATACGAAAACTGTAGCTAAGTTTTTTTCTTGTTTACACAGTTTACAAATTCTGAAACATTTAAAAATAAATAAAATATACATAAATAATAAATTATTGTTTGTTTTTTATTTAAAATAATCATAGGTAAGTAAAAATTTTGAAAGAGTATGATTAATATTTATTGTATTCTGTTATTCATTTCATTTGCTGTGTTGCAATCAAAAACAAAACAAAGAGAAATATCAAACAAAAAATTAATAAAATCAAAATAAAAGCAAATCAGTTTTATTGGGTTTGTTCGGAATCATCAAATGAAAGTTCAATTAATAAAAAAAATAAAACTTCAATTTAAATTTTAATACAATGTATCCCTTTTTTAAGCACATTGTATTATTTTGCATTTGAAAACTTGATGCTTTATTTTATTTCATTTCATTGCTTTTGATTAGAAAATTTTTTGTTTCAAATTATTTTACTTTAAAAATTTCTGAAAAAAGTATATAGAAGTATACTTAGAACTAAAAAAAGTATATAGAAAAACATTGAAAAAATTTTGGATACACAATTTGAGAAATATATCAGTGTTAACAACATTGTAGACACAACATCAAATAAATTCTGAACATAACACATCGTCAAATTTTTTTGTTGATATTTCAACAAGACGATACAATGTATTTGATGCGTCGTAAATAGAATTCCGATGATACCCATTAATTTCTTTAAATTTCTTTCTCTACGCTTTTAAGTATTTTTAGGAAGTTAATGCTTAATGCGTTTTGCATTTGTAGCTGCAAAATATCTTATTAGTTTCAGAAAAAAATTTATATTGCATATTTGACAGTAGATCATGCAAATGAAATCTTTCAGTGATTGCAGATCTTTTTTCAACATGAATTAAACCAAATTTCTGATCAACAAATCTATCTCGGAAAATGTTTCCTACAAATGCGAGCAGTTTTCTATTTTACCGGAATACATGTACGAATAAGGTAATAATTTTTAAAGCCTGAATTTTTTTTTAATTTTAAATTTTGGTAAACAAAAAAAGGTATACTTACAAATATCAATATTTAAAGAAAAATAAAACAAAGTGACATAACCCTTATATTTTTTTTATAAATGTTTTCAACATACATACTAGAGTACACTAAAAATTTATTCAAAATTCATGGAGTTGACTTGGACTCTATTGTTGTTTAATATTTTAATAAACAGTATTAAAATCAATTTTGCTCTCTGTAGATTTTACAAAAACTCAAAAAGTAAAGTTGATGTAAATTCTTAATTTTATTATACGTCCTTAGATTTCATAAGTATATTGGATAAATCAAATCGGTAAGAGTAGGGCATTTTAAACAGTTAATTTCATTTGTAAATGAAAGTCGTATGCAATTAAAGTACTCATTTTTATCAAAAAAATTCAAAATTGATTATTTACTTACAGTAGGGATTAGAATTGGAATTGATGACACTCGTTTTAAGAAAATACTTAATCTATACCCGTTGGTTTTAACGTTTTTTGTTAAAATAATGAAACGTTCACCAGAGCACTCCTTTGTATTAAAATTCATATGATTACAACAATTTTCTTAGGACTAATTAAAAGGATTCAAAAACAAAATTTCAGATCTCGCAGAGCAAACAAGCTATTTTGAAATGGTAAATTCTTAAACGTCAAATTTTACAAAATCTGAGTTGTCTGAGTTTACGAATACTCTACTGCGTTTTTACTTTCAGTCAAAGTTTAAATTCTTAAACGTTTAAAAAAAGTCAATTAAGCGTCAAAATTGTAGATTTTTTTTTTTACATCCAGACAGTCTGACGTAGTAATTCAGTAAATAAATTTGATGTGTTGAGTGACTATCATTACGTTAAAAATAATATAAAAAACATTTTTTTTGTTAATTTTTAATATGTAAGTATAAAATTATTTTAAATCTAAAAAAATTTTTTTTTTGTTTTGACGTTTACGGATGATCAAAATTCAAAGTCAATTACGGGTAAAAACTTTACTACATTTCTGTCCGTAAAAGTTTTATACGTCAGACAGTTTGCAGACTGAAAACAAAATTTTGACGTTAATGAATTTGAGGCAAAAAGTGTTATTGTTTTCGTTGGTAAAATCAGAGATCTAAGATTACAAAATTTTCCCTTATAAAAACTTTGAAGTTGATTAGATTCGCACTCGAAAGAACTGCTGATATGCATATACGACAAAATCAAAGTTTACGATGGATTGAAAGTGTTTACACATCACAGACTGAATTTATGTGATGGCTCGGACTTTACGTCAAAATTTCATAATTTTACTGCGAAAATTATAGCCAATCACTTGATCTCTATTTAATAATTTAGCATAAAATTAATTGTCGCCATTTGACTTTTCTGTAAAAAAATCTAAATTTGATAAGAATTGTTAAATTTCTGTCAATTGCCGTCAGATTAAGTCTAATGTTAAACAGGGTTTACATCTACGACTTTCATCAAGCTCATATTAAATCGTAGATTTGCTCGAATATGTAGAATGAAACTAAGATTAAAAACGAAAATGCCCATTAATAATGTTAACATCTTCCAGCTGATTATATCAATACCTTTACTTGACTAAAAGAAATTAAATCTGCCTTTTAGAACCACTAGAATTACATTCTCCAAACAAGAATGGGAAAATTCACCTTAATTTTTTTTTTATTAAAATACTACAGCTGGTCCAATCAAAAATTGACTATGTGGAAAATATCTGAGTTTACCAAAAATTTCCATAGACAAGTAATTGGTAAGATAGTTTTTCAAATGTCTAAATTTCTAGCTATGGGATCAATGCCGCCTGTTACCTGTTTCCAAGTGCGTAACATTATAGGCTTTTTCAAAAACGCAGTATATAGCGTTATAAAACTGCGGTATATTTGTCTTCATAAACAAATGTTGCTAATCAAGTTTGTTCATAAATAAATGTTGCTAATCAAGTTTCTTCATAAACGTTGTTAATCTATCACAAAAATATTTGAATTATCATGGCTAGTGCAGTTAAATAAGCTGTATTTCTTTTTTACTAGTTTTTGAATTCGTTTGGTGATTGTTGTACTCAAAAATTACAAAATTTCTTTTTATTTCAGTTTTCTTCTTTTATTTTTCCTGAAATAAAATTTTTCACTATTTGGCCCAAAATAAATAATTTTTTTTTGTAAATGATATTTTCATGAACACAATACTGCAAATTTATAATAGTAAAAGTTTTTAAGCAACTGTTAAAAATATATTGCGTATGTGTCACATTGCTGTTGAATTGGGTTAACGACTGAAATCGGCCGTCGCTTTGTTTATGTTTTCACAATAACTGTGATAACAAATCCATACTAATTCAGCACAGCATATTGATTGAAAAAGGAAGCGTTTACATATCAATATTCTTCATGTACTTTATGTTATTTGATAAAACTTTGATTATAGTTGATTGAAGAAGCACAATAGATCGTTTTACACCAAACTCTTTAAGAACTTTTGACAAGACAGTATAAAAAAGTATCCGATGTCAGGAAGGGTTTTTGACAACGTAAAAATCCATAACCAATGTTTGACGTGGAAACGTTGCTGAAAGATTAATTTTTAAAAAATGTACTAGAATAAATTATGGCGTTGGTTTTATATTTTTGATCGATTTTAATAGTTTAATCTATATAGTTGTCATCTTTGAAATTATATTTTAAGTAAAGTCAAGATAAATTTTACTATTTTAGTTCGATTTCAAAAAAATTCAAATAAAGTGTTCCTATTATTAAGCATAAAATATGTATATATTTAATTACACACTGAATAAAAAAAATTAGTCTGAAGCTTAAAAATGAAGTGATGTATGAAATTGTTATAAGGTTGTTGGATATTCGTAAACTTTGTAGATATCAAAGGGAGAAAAATATTTTATAATATGCGCCATTCATTTTGAATAAATAAATACAACGCGTACATATAGTTAGTAAGATTTCGCGTGATAGGGAGTTTTTATTTATAACTCTTTTTGAACAAATTGGTTAACATATTGGCTAACATATCCTCAAGTTTTATTAAATTTTTTTTATTTAGAACTGTTTTTTTACCTTGTTAATCGAATTATGAACATATTCAACTATTGTTGGTTCCAATGGATTTTGTCATACAGTGACAATTTTCAAATTGAGCACATTTATTTATAGAATACTGTAGTAAGTTATTCATTTACAGAAAAATCATAACAGTCCAATATATTGCAATATGTGCTTTTATATTTTTTCTCTTCCCGAAACTGATGTTTTTCAGGAAGTGTCGAAAGCTAAATTGGAACTCCTACTACATAGAGTGATAAATTTACGGAAATGGTGGAAAAGTTTCATTATTGCAATAACAACGTCGCTTTCACTTTGAGGATGCTAAATCGGCCAGGTTGGTATAGCTAACAAGTTTTCTTTGTTAAAGCTATAAGTAAATTTGAAATTTAATTTTAGCTTCAGATACAAATGTTTAAACATAAATTTGCATGTTATTTATCATCAAACAATTAAATTTTATTGTTCCTGTTCATTAATTGAGCACAATATGGATAGGAACATGAGAATCAAGGTGAAACTCCAGTTTTGATTGACACTTTTATTTAATCATGATTAACATAAGAATTATCCATTAAAAACACTACAAACGTAATGAAATTTACACTGGTTTTGACAAAAATTTCAATATTTCTCAAATAAGAACAAGTAGGTGTTCACTAAGCAGCGAAAATCTTGTGCAATTTCTTCTCATGGTGCGAAAAATACTTATATGTAATATGTAAGAAAAATGTTAATAAAAAATTTTGAAGTAAATAAAAAGGCATTTTGATGAAAAAAAAAATTAAATTTATAGGATCTGTGAGTTTTTAATAAAGTTATTGATTTTATTCATAATAAAGTATCATTTACATATTTTTAAGAAGAAATCGTGCTTATATTAATTTATATTCTACAATATATTAACAAAGAAATTTTTTTTTGTTAAAAATATCTTTTCTAGAAATTGGTACAATCAGGTTTATTCGAAGTCAGAAGAAAAATGCACAATTGGTTTATAGGAATTACATTTATAATAAAAAATTGACTCAAGCGAATGGCCACACGACATGGCGATGTGCCGATGTTTTGAAGTTAAAATGCAAAGCTGTTTGTATAACAAAAGATAATAAATTATTAAGAGCTAAACGTAATCATAATCACTCTTGTCACACATCAAGAATAGGAAATCGTCCTTTGTATGATATTGAAGAAGAACTAGGGGAATATATTGAAATAAAAGCTGATGATCCAAAGTTTGCTCAGATGTATCAAGTATCACATATAGAATTAACAAAAGATCAATTTAAAATTTATGTTCCAGCTGCTGATGCTTTAGTTGCTGATAGAAAATTGGAAAAACTTATGGAGGAAATGAATCAATCATAAATTACTATAAATGTTCATAAAAATGTATATACACACATACCTGTATAACTTTTTTTAAGTTAGATTAATAAATAAAAAATAGATTTGGGGACATTCATAAATAAAAAATAATTTATATTTATGTATATAAATAATGTCACTATAAAACCTTCACTGTATTACTACTTTTCAAATTCTTTTTCCACTCTGGATTTTCGTTTACTACATTTACTAATTCTGATAATTTTTTAAAATATAAAAATGAAAAGTTATTAAAAATAATCAGTATAAATTTACATAAGAATAATTTTTACATAAGAAAAATATCAATAAATTTTTTAGAATAAACAAGAAAACTAGTTGGAATAACTATTTGTATTCAATTTCCCAAAGAAATAATTTTAATTTAAAAAATACAACATAGATCTTTTTAATTTAATATGTATACATTAATTATTTAATCATATGAAAATTGAATTTTTGTACATATTTACTAGAAAAAAAAAAATTATTTTGAAAAGCAAATAAAAAATTTTAAATTTTAGAAAAATTTAGAATAAAATAATTGTTTATTTCGATAAATTTTAATTTTTTTTAGAAATTTACTAAGCCAAAAACAAAAATTTTAAATGTATCAATTAATTGATATTAACAATATCTTTGTTGTGTGTAATCTGTAGCATAATATCATTAAAATAAAATTGAACATTAAAGAAAATGTCAAAATCAATTTAAAACAATAAATAAAATAAAAAAATATGATTCTAAATAGGACAAAACGAATAAATGGTGTTGTTCTTTCAATAAAAACAGCATACAAAAAAAATTAATTTGATGTGTTCTAATGTTAACAAAACGTAAATTTTTGATTTTAAATGAAAAAAAAATTAAGTTATAAATAAATGTTTTTAAAAATGCTTCTTTTCCTTAATTTTTTCTACAAAAATTACTAAAATCTCTCTAACTATTATTATTTATTTATTTTAGGGGCATATCAAACGATTGAAGACGCACATTTTATAGAAAGTCCATGGTCAACACCATGCTTAGTAATAAAGGGATTCTTATACAACAGACATAGTAAGAAAAACGATAAAACTTATTGGAGATGTCATAATTATTCAAAAAAAATTGTTGAATACCGTTGCCGTGCTAGGTGCGTTATAGAAAATGGACGTGTAACTGCGATGACTGGTGGTGAGCATAATCATCCACCCCACACAGAAAAAATTGAAAAAATGGCTGCTAGAAGTCGAACAAATATTAGTCACGTTTCACAAAATCCTACGCAATCCCGAAATCAACCACACCATAGTCATTCTTTGCCACTCAAATTTCAGACTATAGAACATGAAGTAGAAGATGTGAAACATGAAATCGTGATTACTGAATTTATATAAATTGATGAATTATATGTTAAATTAATTCTCAAATAAGTTAAATTAAGATTTTTGCTCTTTACTGTAATATTTTCGTGTAATAGGTAAAGATATTAGAAAATTAGCTGTTCGAAAAAAATGTAAAATAAGTATGCTTCTTAAGTGAACATCATAGGTAGGTTAAAGGTTTTTTTTTTAAAGAACTCAAATATTTGTTTTAGATATTTTGTACATATATAGTTCAGTTAATGTAGATCACTATGTTGTAAATAAATTTGGATTAAGAAAAGAAAATTGGTCATATTTTTATGATTTGCTATAGCTTTACGAAAAATTAATGCATATGAAAAAACACATACTTTTTGCGGTAATCATTTTATTTTTTTAAGTAAATATTGTTTATATATATTTTTTTTATTTTTCTTTTAGGTTTTAAAATTCTTTACCAGAATTCATCAATTTACTTTATAAAAAGTCACATTGGGCGTAAACTTTTAGTTTATAAAAATTATATATTTTCATCTAACAAAAGAGTTTACGCGACGAATACAACATATTGGAGATGTACACAATCCAATAGAAAAAACGGTTGTGCAGCACGTTGTACTACTCGTCATGGAGAATTAATAAGATATTTAGGTCATCACAATCATCCGCCAAAAAGAAGTAAACTTCAAAATTCAGAAGTTTCTTTCGTTGACTACGATATTGAAGATCCATAATTCTATAGATATGTTTACAATTATCCCATCGGAATTTCAAATGAGCAAAATTCTATTTTGTAAAATGCATATGAATACTTAAATAAATACTTGCATACATATGTAGTTATGCGTAATAATGCTTCGGTTATACATTTAGAATCACATAACTCACTAAAATTTTTGTCTTTAAAAATAGATTTTTAAATTGCATATTTTCATAATATACATATTCTATATATTAAAATTGTAATTTATTTTCTTTTAGGTCCTTTGGAAAATTTATCTTTTATTCAAAGCAAAAAAGGTTGCACTCAATTAGTTTATAAAGGTAAGCAAAGTAAATTTTATCAGTTTATGGCATATTTGTATGTGCATACTCATATTTATTTCAATCTTTAAAGGATATCCGTTTACTAGACATCGAGTACGAGGGAATATGATATATTGGAGATGTGTTCAATTTCATCCTTTAAAGTATTTATAATAAAACTGCAAAATAATAATTATAACTAAAATAAATTAATTGCAGATGTACTGCCAGAATGAGAACAGAGGGAGAAGCCATTGTTGTCACACGCGAACATCATAATCACGAAATTATTACGCATCGTAGAAAAAAAGGAACCCTAAAACCAATATATGAAGCAAGGCGTTCTCAAGCGAAGTCTAATCGTGGAAATAGTTTCTAAAAACATGAAACTTGAAAAGATAACTTTAATATTTAGAGCATCTGTTTTTGTTTTATTTAGAGCATATTGATTTGAATAACTTAAAATCCGTGTTTAATTAATATTTGACAAAATAAAGCTAATATAGATTTAAAGAAAATGCTGGAAGTTATTCAGTTTGATTATTATGTACTTTAATTGTTGAAACGTAAAGATTGCTCTTGCAAACTGCATAAAAAATGTTTGAAATTTAATTTTTGAACAAAGTCTGCAAAGAAATATTAAGTATATTTGTATTTCTTTTTGTTAAACATATTATTAAAAAAATTTAAAAAAATTATATATTAAGTGTATATATTTTAGTAATTAAATGCTTTATTATCAAATATTTCAAAAAAATTTGAATTTAGAAAAACGTATTTGCAAAAAGATATTTATCTTGGTACTAAAATCATTCATTAACACATTTATTTTAGGTCTGCGTAATTTAAAACCGTTTTACGAAAAAATCGAAAATCCGGAATATTCGTATAACTGTAAGGGAAACTTATTATATCATAATAATATATTTGTATGTAGTTCACGCTTTGGTGCTAGTTCAATTGTAAAGTGGAAATGTAAAAACTACAATCGTACAAAATGTGAATCAGTGATTAGAACTATCGGCAAATATGATTTTTACATAAAAGGACAACATAATCACAAAAATTTACTAAAACATTCATTAAAAACATTAGAGCCAGTTGTTTACCAGGACATGATATCAAATGGGCAAACGTGAAATCGTTTACAAAGGACATCTTTTCGCATATTATAAGTTTTTTTCGTTGTTTATTCGATTCAAAACGAGAAGAGTTTTTTTTGCATCTACACATGTATTTTGCATTACATAAGGCTAAATTTTATAAAATTTTTATTATTATGTATAAAAGTGTTTTTTTTTTTTTAAATATTTTTATTAATAAACTTTGAGTCGTTAAAAAAAATAATTTTGTGTTCCATTGCAAAGATAGTTTAGTGATTAAAATAATTTGGCTATGTAATTATTAAAAGTAACACTTTTATATTCAAAAAATTTAAAATTTTTAATTTTATTTTAATTTTAGATCATAAAAAGAAAATTTTCTGTAAGGAAGTATTAGAACCAATATTACTAAAAAAACTAAGTTGTAAAACATCTATCCCGACATTCAACCAAAGTTTACTTTTATCTCAAAGAACACGTCCATTGTTTCCAAATATCAAACCAATTCAACTAGGTGCAGCAATAAAAGAGACTTTCATCGTTTCAGTAGGAAAAAATGGACATGCATTAGCAAAAATACCAACTAAAATTGGTTGTTGTGTTGAATGTCTAAAAAAAAGTGCTGGTACCAGGAAAAATAGAGTTAAAACATTTTGCGCTCAATGTCCGAATGGAGAGTGGATGTGCGAAAATTGTTTTATTGATTTACATAATAAATGCGAATGTTAAAACCTACATTTGTATAGTAAAGCAAAATTTGTAAATGACGATTGTTTTCTTTTTATTTAAATAAAATAAAAATAACCAAATATGGTAAAACAAAAATTTATTGAGAATGAATTTAATTTTATATAGATAGTAGTTATTATTTATTTTAATTTTATAAAAATAAATTGATAATAATGAATTCCCATTCATATAGTGAAAAACGAATTCGCATTACAATCATTACCTACGAGAGCATCATCTACTATAGCCAAATACGAATTTAAACCTCGCTGTTTAGCCAATATCAAAAAGATATCTGATGATATTAAACCAGAAGATGTTGTGATGGAAGATGGAAAGGGACATAAATTAGTTAGAATCGAAAAAGCTCGACTTCTAGGTTATTGTGTAACTTGTTTGAAAAGGAAAAACGTTGGTAATAAATGCAAGAACGAAAAGGTAATAACGTATTGCGCTTCATGTCCGGGTGGAAACTGGATTTGTGTGCAATGTTTTAAAGAGACTCATAGTAAATAGATAAAAGTATTTTATTATTAAGTGATATATTGTATTGAGATCAAAAATAAATTTATTTTTTACCTTTAATGGAATTTCTAACATATTTTAATTTTTTTCATTCATCTAAAGATTTTCCTCTGTTGCTAAAAACATAAAAAAATTATATGATTTTATAGCTATTTGGGCAGCTACTTATACGAAAAAAAGGGTCGAGTGATTTAAATTTATTTTGTAAATAATTGGACAAATGTATACTAATAGCTATTACCACCACATATATTTACCATACAGATAACTAAATACGAAAAAAAGAAATTTTCAAGGTACTATAAAATTGCAAACAAAACATTTTCTACATCATAAAAAGAAGCCTTCGCATGCTTTTAGTTACCCTTCTATTGAAATTCTACACTACACTTTTCTACATATTTTGCAAATCTATATTGTTTTATTAACTGTAAAAATCTAATAAATGTATCAGCAGGTAATAAGAATAATATAAATAACTGTATCTGTGTAATAAAAAATTAATACAAATTCTATGTTTCAAAATGCAAAGTTTTTTTCTCACAGGAAGAAAAATATATCTAAGAAATTGTAACGCAATATTTTTGAAATAAATCTATTTTACTCAGGCATTATCATTATATCTTTTTCTATAATTTTTTTTCTTATAATCTATTGGATGATTATGTTCATTATTCAAAATTTCTAAAAATCCATTCGGTTTCACTCTAACTCTAGCACGACATCTAGTTAAACTTTTTTTAATACATATCCATTTGGTGCCACGCCTGTTTTCCATAGATTTACAGTATTCAAAATTTCGAAACATTAGAATAATAGCATGTCGTTGTCCGGTAGCAAAATAATAATCTGAAACAAAGTTAAAAAAAAATTTTAATAAAATTATCTTTTTAATAATACTCAAGTAAAGTGACTTATATGTGAGTGAAGCAATTTTTTGAATTAAGAACAGTGAAGTGGCATTCTAAATTTAAAATGAAAGGAATAAACTGTTCATTTTATATTAATAAACGAACGTTTATAATAACGGAATTCCATTTAATAATAATAATGTATTTTAATATACTGATGTAAGTGAAAGTACCATGTAATAGTAAACACTTCACTTAGCGTCATCCTTATTTGATTTTTTAGTCACTTTCAAATCAGAACTTATTTTGAAAAAAGTGAAATATGTGAGATATATAATGCGAAAATAACTACAAAGGTACATACATAGATACTTGAGATTAAATGCGAATATGTAATGACACTAATGACTAATACTTACTTTCTTCTTACCCGCTGAGTAAAAGCGTGAGATACAGATTTTGGATGATAGGTGTTGCACAATTGTATAAGAATTCAAGATTCGAGTATACACATGACCAATTAACCAAAATTGTGCAAATTCGCAAATATTTTATAACAAAAATTTATTTCAATATTTATTTATAAAATTAAAATACGCTCATGACAATTACATTATACGTATAGATATATACTATTAATTGCATATCCTTATCATTCATAAACTCATTTAGCAGTTTGACACTGGACAATTGTAAACATAGTATCGCGTGCTCAAGCATGCCAGTTTGAGAACAAACCATGTCTATCATAAACATGAATGTTTAATAAAAAATGCAAGTAATAAAGAAAGCCAATTTTGGCCTATGATAAAGTTGATATATGTATTGCATATTAAAAATTAACTTTGTTTATTAAAATAATTGTATATAATATAATATCTAATTTAAATAATTTATACCGTTAAATTTTTAGAAAAAAATCGAAACAACAAGTCGTTATTTTTGAAAGGCCCTTATTGTAACTTTGTATTGTTAGATGTATTGGGTTGATCTTGCTCGTTTTCAATATCATTCGGATTTGGAAATTGCCATCGTTACAAGTAGGGAACTTTAAAATAAAATTATTTCTACAATAAATCTTTTTTTGTACGGGTGTAGTGTAGCTAATACACTAATAATAACTAATATGCATAGTACAGTAGAAATTTTATTAATTAAGCCTTCACAGTTTTTTACAATTTATGTATTAATGTTAAAAACTTGACTGTAGAAGACAAATACATTTCGCGTATTAAAACTTTCTTCTTAAATTTCACCCAATTTAGTAAAATTAATGCTTACTGAAAAAGTTCATTTTTTTAAGGTTAAAAGATGGAAAGCTACAGAGTGTTTTTTTTTTTTAAATTAAATCGAATTTACATGACAATAGTTTTTTAACAAAAAAAAAAATAAAAACCCATACTAATTTTTATGAAAGCTACTTTATTTAAAATAAAATTATGTGTTTTAGTTCAAGTCGCTATCGTTATGCTTTCTTCTATAATTTTTTTTCTAATAATCTACTGGATGACTATGATCATTATTCAAAATTTCTAGTTTGTGTATTTTCCATACATTTACAGTACTCAAAATTTCGAAAAATTTATGCTCAATGGAATATAAGAAGTCGTTGTTCAGTAGCAAAATAATAGTCTGAAATAAAATTAAATATTTTTATGAGTGAATTTTATATATAACAGTGAAATAACTTTACTTACTGTGATCTTTAATTTAATAATAAATAACATTCTTAATTTAAAATTAGAAGAATGTAACACCATACAAAATACTAAATATTTAGATTTATAATTTGTCTTAAACAATACATAAATAAATTATGTGTAATTAATTTATTAATTTGCATCAATTCTATATATTATATATGCCCTTTAAGGGTAAAATTTAATTTATTTTTATTTTTATATTGAATTTCACTTTGTATTTTTAAATTTTATCAGATAGTAATATTTGACAACACTTATCATTGTACTTTTATCACTTACGACGACGTCATATATTTAAATCTTTAAAGAAATACATAATGGGCACATATAAGTATGTGCTTGTAGGCAAATAAAATAATTTAAAATCAATATATTATGTATATACATATTTTAATAAACAGTAAATTTAAATTGTATTTTTCTAAATATAACACAATTATTACACACCCAGTTTTGCAATATAATTGAAGAAATTTTATTTACACTTAAAATGTACGTCATATTTATTATTTAATAATTTCACATTGAAGTTAAAAGTGGAGAAAAGTATTTTATTATTAAGAAAGGAAAAAATGTATATTTGTACAATAATAAATTATAGTTAACAATATATTGTAATAAACAAAAATTTAAAAAAAAAATAATGTTTAGATATTGAAAGAGGAATTTTGTTCGGCAAATCCAGTATTATTAAGTTTTAATTTTTTTTATTTAATTTAATATTTGCTTTGTTATATTGTTTTATTATTATCGTGTTAATAAAGTTTTTGACTTTTTTACAGTCGAATAGTTGCAATGGACAATATTGAGATATTTTTTACAATTTTTTTATAGTGTTTTTTTATTAAATTTTTTAAAGGAAAATTTAAGAATAAAATCAACTTTGATAAAAGTTATATGGTACGTATGAAATATATAAATGTATAAGCACCAACTGAATTTTTTTCTGAAGGGAAGGATATTTTCTTTTACACATCTGAAAAACTGTAGATTGCTATTTGAGGAAAATATTCAATATTTTTGAAAAATTTTTTTAAAATTCAACTTCATTTATCGATGTTTTCATCAAATACTTTAAGAAGAACTTTCAGTAGTTTTAAGGGTCTGTTCAAAAATGCTTTAAATAAATTTTAGTACATCTTAAATCTTTTCACCTACATAGTAAAAACATACTTTTGGGACGTTTTAAAGATTTTACAATATTTATACATATTTCATAAAACAAAGTATTTTTATATTAAATTTTAGAAAAAAATCTAAATATTCTAAATTACCACTTAATTGCTGAAAATTACATTATTTTCATTAATTGTTTATTTCCAGTAATTTTTTCAGTAACTGGTTTTCTTTTATTTTACGTGCCCAATATGTATATGAAACATTTTTGAACAATGTACAATGTGAAAAGCTTTAATAAAAAGTATCCTGTTAATACTTTTTAGAATTTACGTTCTTAGCGCATTTTTGAGTCTTGGTTACTTTAATTTTAAAATCTTTTGATTTTATGTTCTAAAGAAGCTTAATTTAGTTTTTAATTCTTATAAAAAGAATTATATTGGTGCTTAATTATCATTTGAAAGGAATTTCATAATAATAATTTTTTTATTATTTTAATGAAAGTTTTTTATTTATGAGATGAATATTATTGTTTATCATTAGTTTATATAAATCATATTTTGTTTGTGATAGCTAACTTATAAAATAAATAATATGTATTATGAAAGTTCTGTTTTTTTAATTTTAAAATATATTTAAAAATTTTTTATGACAACTTTCAAAATTTTTTTCCTTTCCGAATTTTATGTTGATACTCTTCATAACTTAACATGTACTACAAAAAAATATTAGATTTGTTTATTTTAAAAACTTATTAGATTTGTGTTTTTATTTTTCCGTTTGCCAAACTGTTATAACTTCTTGTTTTACACCCATTTCCGAATTTGTATCTATTTCCGGATTTATTTTAATTTTTCGAGCACGTTTTTTTCTTTTAATTATCTCCTCATGGGTATGATATCGGTTTAGTGGTGTAACGACATCGTTGATTGTATAAACTCGTGATCGACATTTTTGATTCCACCATTGGTTACAACGCCAATATTTTTTTTCTTGTCCGTTTGCTAGTTTTAGTATTTTTTCAAAAATGAACGGTTGACCGCCATAAATTAATTGGATTTTATTTCTTGAAGTCCTCGCATAAACAGCTATATCTAATACTATACGCAGGTGATTCAAAGAAGCGAAAAAAAAATAAAAGAGAAAAACTATTTAGTTGAGTTTAATTTAAAAAAAAATTAAATTCATACATATTTATAAAAATATTTTGCAAAATAAAAAATAAAAAATTTTACTAGTATTTTTGTCTTTTTTTATAATTTTTTGCCTTTTATTTACTTAAAAAAAATATTTTCAAATAGCATTAACTATTGATTTAATATGCAGATTAGTTTTTTAATAGTGCAACCACAGAACTTGGGCTCAAAATTGCTTTGCTTTTTTATTGTAAATTATTTTGTGTCATAGTGAGTAGCTTGTTTCTTCGTTTAGACACTTCTTTTTTAATCTGCAATTTTAGAAGCTAACTTTTAAAAATCATGAGTTAAGAAATAAAAAATTATTATTTTTACCTTGTCAATTCCGTGATTGAAGGTCTTTCGTTGACAATTTTTTTAATGTTTACAATTTTGTATTAATTCATATTTTGATTGTGTAACTGGAATCAGCTTTCTATACGAACTATCACTGTAAAAAAAATAAATTTAATTAAACAATTTTTTTTAGGTTTTACTAATAGCAAACTTTGTTTTCCCATAGAAACTTTAATTTGTGTTATTTGAATTTAATTGTTCTTCATATTTCAACTTTTATACATATGAAAAGATTGACTGTATATAAGATATTTTTGTTTTTTTTTAGTACAATACCAATTTGATATTGCACTGAAATGAGAAATTAAACAATTAAAAAAATATTCGTGAATCTGTAACGTACTAGTTATACGTGTGCATTTAAAATTATTACTTAAAAAAAATTTATTTGACATAATTCTGTAAACGATAGTTTATGGTTGCCTTTGCCTTTTTCTATTTTTTAGTTCGAATCTAAGCTTTAATCTGTTTTCATTAAAAAATAAAATTCTTATGAACAACTAAAATAAATTAATTTAACTTAAAAATTATTTTGAATATTATATTTTATCTCAAAAATTTAAAATATATAATTGGCAGGTAAAATTTCAGAGTTATTGTTTTATTAAATATAAAACAAAATATAAAGGTGTTTATTAATAAATTTTTTGAGACCAACTGAAATTTTTATTATTAAATATATGTATGTATGTAAAGAAATTTAAATAATTTTAGTTATAATACATAATATGTATTTTAGAATAATTAATAAAAATTTAATTTTTACATGCGCGTCAAACTTTTTGTTAAATATGATATTTATATTAATATACATATGTATGTGTATACTTTAATACTGATATTCTTCCGCATACACATTATAATTTTATACTATCACGGATTATAATTCAGTTCTATTAAATTTTTTTAACATTCTTGTTGACTGTGGATGATTATGAATTGAGTTTGTTACGATCACTTTATAAAAACTATTGTTTTTATCATTACATTTAATTGTAGTTATTCTAGCTCGACATGGGGTGTTTCCAGCTTTTCGTGACCTACAATTCCAATAGATACGATTTTCAACCGTGTTATTGATTGAGAACGTAAAACCATCGAATACCAATAATTTTTTACCACGTTGTCCTTGTATGAAATGTAATTCTTGATGTTCTAATACAAATTCTTTTCTAGGTGTTGATGATGGTATATCTTTTTTAAGCGATCTTGAAATTCTTATAGGCTTAAGATTCATATTGGCAGACTTAATTGTTGATAAAAATGTTTTATAGCAAGATGTAACTAGAAAAAAATTAAATATATTGTTTAATCTACAGTTACGTATAAATTATTATGAGTTTTTAAAATATTTTCAAAATAAAAGCTTGAACTTGCACATTAATTATGTTAAATAAAGTTAAGTTTACACATTATGTAGTGAGCGTACAGGTTGTGAATATAATAAAAGTAGTAAATTCATTTATAAAATTTATTATGTAGGTTTTTTATAAAATAATAATTTGTTTTATAATACTTAATGCTCTTTTCTAATAATCTCAAAATTCCAAATTGGAGTGTGTGAATGAGTTTTATGCGTCTGACGCACGCACATTTTACCATCGCGGTATTCTGTAACAACGCGAGCTTTACATCGTTCTCTGTGATACATCGAACATTTCCAATCTCTTGAGTTTCGCAATCCTTTAAATTTACCATTTGGAGTGAATGTGTTTCGTTTGAAAATCAAGAGCTTCGTTCCACGACGAGATAACGTATAAAATAAACCATCAATGCATAGAACTGAAAGAAATTAGCAAATTATTCACAAAACTTAACAGTATTAAATATTAGAATGTTTCCTGCCCGATTTCATTTCTAAGCTAAAGTCATTTCTAAGCTTAAATACTATAAGCAAAATAACTTAAAAATTTTTTTAATTATCAAAATAAGTTAAACTTTTTTTAATTACATATTTATTTTTAGATTATATTAATAATATTATAAATTTCTTAGTGTTTTAAATTTTGGTATGTGATGATGATTAAAATTTAATTTTACTATAACAAGCTTTCGAAAATGGATCAGAAGCACTTTTTTTGTTTAAATATATGTACATGTAGGTTTTCCAAAAATAGCTCTAATATTTTAAACCAAGTGTCAAAAGATATTGTGCTTTGTCGTCACTTTTATGTTACTTTCGTTCTTCTTCAATCTTGCTCTTGCTTTACAACCTAATCGAAAGCGACTACATTTTAAATAATATGTAGTTTTTGATTGGGACCCAATTACAAAGCGGTGTAATTGTTCTAAACGAAGACGTTTAACTCTTACTGAAAAAAAAGGAATGAATTAGTATAGTTATTGAAAAATTCATATAAAGATGTATAAAACTTACAGGTATTGTATTGAAAAAAAAAACTTACCTTAATACTTATCGAGTTTATAAATTGAAAGCATCGTTTAAACTCGTATTTCAAAACAAAATATAAAACACAATTTTTAAAATTACATAACTCTGAATTTTCAACATGTCCATATATTTTATTTTAAAAATTCATTATACTGACAATATTGTGAAAATACATTTTTTTTTTACATACATAAATACATATATAGAAATGTAATTTTTATTTAAAGTTTGCTGCTAGTGGTTATGTGCTTTTTTACTTAATTTTATTTTGGCTTTTTTTGTAATACAACGGGCGTTACATCCTTCATAAATGCATTTCCAATTTATTGTTGTTCCGAAATTAGCTTCCTTACGATATTTGTAATTGTTAAATGTTAATTCGACTCTTCCATTTCTAGCTGTACTTAGCTCAAAATGTACGTTTTCGTGCCAAATACCTGCATTTAACGTTTTTTCTGTGTCAATAATGTATTGAAATTTTAATAAAAGCATTAACTAATTATTTTTATAACATAAATATATATATACATACATATACATTTGAGGAAACGCATTTAAATCAAAATTGTGAAGTATAATTTTTATTTTAAGCTAATTTAACATAAATATTTACAATTTTTCTCAATTAAATTTTAAAGGACTTAAACTTCTTATAGTATAAATAGTTCGTGGCTGTAATTTTTTGATCAATTTGATAGCATTTTCTTTAGTAATAATGTACCCAATTAATTATGCTGTTAAATTTTCTTTACACCAGGCTTTCTTTTTAATACAAATTTACAAAAGTGATTTTATCCATACATCTGTTGCCCCTAAAAAAACGTAGATTGTTAATATTCAATAGAATCTCATTTTAAATAGTTTTAATTAAATTATGGCAATTCCAGTTTCTAATATGTACGTCTTATAAAATAGAAAGTCTAAATTTTCATTGAACTAAATTCATAGAAATATTTATTTATTTGAAAAATTTTTACCGAATAAGCTTTTCTATCTTGATCTACGACAGGTTCATGATTATGTAGTTTTTGACTTAATTTGATAGCATTATCCCCAGCTGTAACGCATCTGGCTGGACACCTTAGTGATGAATTGCTATTTTTATTACACACCCAATTTATAGTGCTATTGTATTTTCTTTCCACAGTATATAAGTATCCATTAAAAATAAGATTCAAGCCTCCACGTCTATTGGGCATAAACTCATATAGGCAATCTAACCATACACCTGTTCCAGCTAAAATAAAATGAAATGAATAATTAAAGTAACTAAACTACCAAAACATTAGCATAGCTAATTAACAAAGCTAATTTTTATTTTTAATTAATGGCAATTTTTTTTTTAAATAAAAACATAATTTATTTAGCACTTTTAAAATTTCATATGAGGCTTAACGAACATTTTTATAAGACTTTCTACATACTACGAGATCTATCCTACATAAATAAAATTTATAATTAAATCCAAAAGGTTATTAAAGCCTTTTCATTTTTTCTTATCTCTTTTAATTCCACTTTTATTCATGATTGTGTTTACCACGAATGGATTTTATTATTTTATCGTTAATAACAACAACTCTAGATGTGCATTTTACTTTTTTGTTTCTCGCTTTTGTACACTCCCAATACGCTGCTCCATTTTTCTTTCGGTTCAAAGTATAGGCTTGGTTTTCCAGAAACAGTACTGGTTTCCCTCTAACACTTCTCAATATTTCAAAGTTATAGTATCCTAAAATAGAAAACAAAATAGATGTTTAATATTTAGAGTACAATAAGTGTTAGTTATTTTTAAAATTTAAATATCTGAAAGTAAAAATATAAAATAATAAAATTTGTTTTACGTAATTGTAATTATCAATTTATTTTTCATGTTCTCAGATAGTTACATTTATGTACATATATTCACTTCAAGTTTTTCTTCTATTATTTCTTATAACATTATGTACATACTAATTTGCTAATGTAATTTAGTAATATTAATATGTAATATTAGGTATGTGTTAATTGAAGCTATTCACCTTTGCAGAAGGATGCTGCATGCATTTGTTAACATTTCAAAGTTATCATAATTATTGAGTATTCACACATTCAGTTTGGTAGAAAATGCTAAAATCAAACTGAGGTAAGATTTGTTGATTTTATTCATGCAAAAATCAACCAAAAAATAAATTGGAGACACTACTATATGAAATTTCTATTAACACGATGTAAGTTTCGTTATAAAAGAGATGTTAATTTTTGTTATGGATATAAAAATTTTTTAAAATTATGTATTGATAGAAATTTAAGAGGTTTTAATATTATCTATTAATATTATCTACCTAATATATTGGAAAAATCCTGTTATTTGGAAATTAATTGAAATTTAGTATATTTAGTTAATTATATTTAATTATATATTTAACATTATTATTTTTATTGACAGTTGTTTTTCAGAGTTAAGTTAGTTATTATTTTATGAAGGTTTCAATATACATATTTTATTAATGTTATTCCCTAAATTTATATAATATTCGTCGCATGAGAAATTATATATTATCTATAGTAACTATATATGGATACCTAATTATACATGGAAGGAACTTTATAACAACACATTCTAAAGTATTTTACAAACAATATTATTTTTTTTTAATTTATAATGAATTAATAAAATAATTACATATGTACTGTATGCAATCCACATAAACAAATGATCTTCCTTTGCTACATACAAATATGTATATATGTAAGTGTTCGAAAGTAAGGCATCATTTGCGTTTTCTGTTTTCGGTAGGTATTTGCTAAACTAAATTATTAAAATAATTAAATTACCTATTTAAATGTAAAACCTCTCCACTATTGTAACAAATCCATTGCGAAAGTTAAATCAAGCATTTTTAACCAAATTAATTGTAAATATTCAATAAACACAGTAAAACGTTTACAGCAAACACTTAACTTTATAGTAACTTTTCGAAATTTAATCTGGATCCAGTAAGCTTAAATGTTTTTTCAGAATTCAATTGATTAATTGTAATGATAAAATGAACGTTAAAAAATTTTAAGAAATTCCTAAGACCATCAGAACTCAAATTATTAGTGAAAGAAGTAGATATTTTGCTTTACACTGCAAATGAAATAATAAATACATATATAATTTAATATTTTTAAAATCAAACATTTAATTATTAATAAAATGCTAAGAAATCATTTGCTTAATTTTAAATTTTGACGTTTGTTTTTTTTTTATATTTTTGATTATATGAGAAATTATGTTATTTAAAATGTATCGTAAAAAAAACATACAAAATTCTTTTTTTTTACGTTTAACATTTAAAATAAACTCTAAAATATCAAATTTTGCTAACAAAATAAAAATAAATTTTGACAAATTGAAAATACTACACGCTTTGTTCTTTTTTGACTAATGGCTGAGAAATCTATTACAACAATATGAATGTAGAGAACATGTAAACAATAAAAATTTCCTTTTAATATAGTACTAGATTTTTCTAAATTTATACTAAAATTTATTACAAAAACAATATTGCATAAACAGCAAAGATATTGTATATATGAAAAATCTAATGCGCTTAACCACAAACCGAATATGTTTTTGATTTTGACATATTTAGAAAAGTGTTAATTATGCAGGACTGGCAAACTTTTTTATAAATTTGCCTGGTACAAAGCCCCGGTCACCGAGTAGAAAGAGCAGCTCCCATTTTCCTTTTATGGTTTTTTAAAAAATGTATAGATTTTATATGAAAAAAAATTATATTACAAATATATATATATAATTATAATATATAAAAAATTATATACCGTCCTTTTATATTTTAAGTCAAAATATTTTCGAGTTTTAAAGTTTAAAAAAAAAATTGCCAAAAGAAGGAAAATTGCATTCAAAATAAATTTTTATTGAAAATATATTTCCTAAAATTTACACAACATCAAGCGTAAGACCTTTCCTGATTGGCATTGGGTACTTACTGATACTGACTTTGATAAAATATGAAAGAAAAATCCAAAAAAAATTTAAATTCATAAATATTTATAGTTTCAGAATTCACCAAACTCTAAGCAAATTTTCCATTTATTCCAAGGTTTTACTGAAATTTTATATTTAAAAAAATATTGGGTATTTTCGAATTAATACAAATTATTTCGAATTTAGAATTAGTACAAAATATATTTGACAAATCAAAAGTGAGAAATCTGCAAAAATAGGATGTTCACATTCGAAAATCATAGCATGTCTAAAGTTATAAGCAATATGTATTAAAAGTCGAATTTGAAAAAATTAACTTCACTGATATTAGACTATCAGGCCATCAAGATGAAATTATTGGGAAAAAAATTTCCCAATTTTTGAGTATTCTTTATGATTCTCATTTTATTTAGTATAGTTTTAAAAGCCATTCAGAATTCAGATTATAATAATTATTTTTTTGCTTTTTTTTTAATTTCTTTTTAAATTCTATTTCTTATTCAAAAATTTTACTCTGTAATTCAGTACCCTTCCATTTGGAAGACAAGAAAGTTTGTCTGCGCTAAAAATTGCAATTTTTGTTATTTAAATGCTTTTTTCAGATGGAATTTACCATCAGATTTTTTTGAAATTTAAGTTTTAAATTTAAAAAAATATGTAAAATCAGTAGAGCCAAAAATATTGATCAATTTTCTTCACACAAATAAATTCTGACACCCCTTCCATATAAACTCCATATAAATTTGGAATTTATTTTTGATTTGCTCTTTGAGATTTTTGGCCTGATTATTTGGCTTGCAACATTCTTCCTAATACGACATTAAATATTTTTTTTTCGACAGATTTTACTAGTTTTTTAATTAAAAATCTATATCGAATTTAGTTGTAACTCTAAAGCACATACATACTTCAATAATGAGCAGTAAAAATACTAGTCAGTAGCTCAAAGACAAATTGAAATGATGTACACATCGATTTAATCAGATTTTATTTGATTCTTTTTGCTACAAAAATTGATTTGTTTTGATTTCGTTATTATATTTTGTTATTTTAAACTTTGTTACCTTTTTTTAAAATAACAGGTGAATTATACAAAATAGTTTGTCTAATTCAGTTTTTGTTTCCACGCATTTTTTTTCCTCCTCAAACGACAATTTGAGTTACGACACAAATTTCTGGAGCTAAAAATGTATCTCGAGGACTTAGTGTATATGACATTAATCTTAGCATAGGTATAACTTATTACTATTGGCTACATTTTTGTATACAGGGTTGTATACAGAAGGACCTTCTTTTTCCTTACCTAACTTCCCTTTCGAAAAAGATAGAGACTTCCTTTAATTGTTCTTTTCTCTTATAATATACGAAAATAAAAATAAAAAATTGTTGAGCAAACAAAAAGGACCTAATTCTTCAATAGTTCTTTGGAAACTAATAATTTCAATAAAATAAATTTAGGAAAAATATACGAATTATATCGAAGTTGACACAATTAAAGCAGTTCTGAAAAATATTTTAATGCGGGGGCCTTATGCTTACCAGGGCAAACCTTTGATTTTAAGATCAATTTAAAATTTTAAAACACAATTACATAAACATTGATTAGCTTAATTAAACTTCTTTTCTAAAGAGCAAGCACAATTCGAAAAGTGTAGTTTAACTACCTGCAAACAAAAAAAAATGAACTGGTGTAAGAGAAGAGAAAAAAAATTAGTTTTGTTCTTAAAATTTTGCTAATGGTATTTTGTAGTATACCTACATTGCATGTAATATTGTAAATACTTATTGCTCAGTTTATTTGTTCAAAAAACTGCTTCTGAAATGATTTATTCCAAAAACACAAATCTGTTAATATTTTTGGAATAGATCAAAATATTGGGACTTAGGATAAAATGTCAAAACTTACAATGGCGGAGGTTTCTGTCAATTACAAAAAATTGAAGAAAATACTAGTATGTATGTAGAAGAAAAGTGTATGTTTTTCGTTATAACAAAAGAAAAAGAATTTTTCAATAGTAGCTAATGAGAAAGGCTGTTGTTTTATAAAATAACATAAGAAAATATATTTGTTTTTCATATGCCTAATTTTGAAATTAATAAATAGGGTGCAAATTTATTTATTAGTAGAATAAAAAAAAGCTTTATGTTTATTGAAGATGAAAGAAGAATGGAGCATTCTTTGCACTCCTGAGTGTGAACTTTCGCCTGAGGAACAAAATAGTCTGTACATAGCAATTGATAATGGAACACTTGGGGAATTACAGTGGAGATGTCCAGGAAGAAGATCTCCTTCGCCTTTGAATAAGAACAAAGAACAGAAGCCTGAAAAAAACATTCAAAAGGAACCTCAGACTAAAAACGATTTTGATTTTATGGATGATGTTATCCTTCCAACGATGAGAGTACGAAGCCATAACACAGCTAAAAGTTCAAATGTTAAGAAAAAAGCAAATTTTGCTGGAGTCTTGGAGTCTTTAAAAAAGCAAATGCAGAACCAATAAAATGTTAAATGTAATATACATATTTTGCAGGTAATTTTGCAAAATGTTCAATTTTCTGTAAACCCACTGTATACCGTGTTATATTAAATCAGTAGTACATTTGATTATTAATTATTGAACTATTTTGTAAAAAAAAATTTGTTCACATATTATTAAATTTATAAAATGTGTATATTTAATTTAACTTTTACTTAAATTTACCTAACATTTAATTTGTTTCAGAATTTAATTTAAAATATACTACATAAATACAGTATGGAAATTTGGATTCGTAGATGAAGCTGAATAGTAATATTTATTTGCAATATATAATTAATTTTGTCATACTGTAATTAATATTTTCCTATTTTGAATTTTAATAAAGTGTTATTTATACTAAAAAAAAAGATGGTTATTTAATTTTAGAATATTTATTGAGAATAAAATTTTTGATAAGTATATTTTTTCATAAAATTTTTAACCTTTTCATTTTTTTTTGCCTTAGAAAAGGAGAATTTAAAATCGAGTGCGAAAATGTGTTTAGAGGTAGGAAAATGCAACGATTCATACAACATTTCGCCTGAAGTTCGGGATACTGTTGACAACAAACAGGTCAACCTCGATGTTGCAAATAATTTTTCAAATAATAATATGCAAGAAAGTGTTAAAAAAGTGGAAACGAGCATTGTTTCAAAACATCCTGCAATTGAAGCCTTCAATGCAAGACAACAAGGGTTGTCACCAAGTTCAACTACGATTATACAAGCACAAACATCAAAACAAAACACAAAGAAAGCTTCTATTGCACAACATCTTACGCACGATAGTTCTCAACAACAAATTGTTAAACTTCACGATAATACACAATATATTATTATACCTGCGACTGTAAATAAAAACGATCAAGAACAAATAAAAATTCTGAAAAGTCCTGGTAAACCAAACCAAAAGCCCCTTACGACAGGAGATATTACTTGTAAAATGCAAGCAATGCAAAAGAATGTAAAAAAAAATATATCTCCTCAATCCTCCTCTAGTAAACTTATAACACAACAAGTATCTCCAGTCAGGAACTCCAATAATCAACCGAGACCATCTCCAAAGTCAATTGTAGACAATGATTTGATTCCTTTGCACAGTGGTAAATTTTATTTTTTAATATTGTATTGCAAATAATATAAAAAAAATTGATTGGAATTTTTAGGATCGAAACTTCTCATATCTAAAACAGCAATCAGCACGATATTTACTCCAAATGTTAAAAATTATACAGCTAGACTTATTAACCATTTATTAAAGGCTGATGGACTAATCATATGTGAATTGGAAAATATTCGATCTATCATCAGTAAAAGTTATTAAAATATATACAATTAAAAATTTTATTAATTAATTTTGTTGCAGCTCACGTTACACAAGTGTTTAATAGACGTGGAAATCCTGTTACAGAATTAGATGTGGAGAAATATGTTATGATAAAATTACAAAAATCCGTAGCTCCCACCAAGAAATAAGCTTACTATTAGTTCTATTTAATTTTTCATTGTTTTGATATATAATACATATTACATAATGTTTCCCATTAGATTTTATTTAATTAATTATAATTTGCTTGCAATACTGAAATAAAAATTGAATTATATCCAGCCGCTCATCAACAAAATGGTTTAATATGTATTGATATCAAAATATGCATTTTTGTCTTGAGCGGTTTTTTCGAGTTTAAACAAATAAAATAATATAAAACTCATTCAAATGTAATTACATGTTTGTAGATATTTTCTTACCCAATCTTTTTAAAAATATATGTACCTACATGTTAACATTAATAGATTAATTTAAGCAAATACCAATAATTAACTAAAAAAAATTTTTTTCAGATTGTATGGATTCAATATCACAAAAATTCAAGTCAAATGACCTAATTCCGTTACATGCCGGAAGCACTGTTCTAGTTAACAAAAATGACTTAATTTATATTTCTCATAAAAGTTTAAATGATCCAGTTCAGTACACTTGTAAGTTATGATTTCATATGTATGTATATTTTAACTTTTAGTTCTTGTACATATATATACTTCTAAGATTTTTTTCAATGATTTTTTTTTAGCAAAATTAACACATTTGATATTTGGTGATGAGGTTTTAATTGAATGCGCACGAAAACCACCGAAATTAAGGTTTGAAAGTTTAGATCAGGATTGTGTACAATCAATAATTTGTAAATAAATTATGACTTTTTGTTACGATTTAGAATTTCGCTGATGCAATTTTTTTTTAGATCATATTGTTAAAGTATTTACACATCGAGGCGCTAATGTAACGGAAGAAATCGTTATGTCTTACATTCAAGATAGACTTGATCAAATTGCTAAAACAATGATACTGAGTTAAAATTCAAATATATATATACTTTATAATCACATATTTCTAGTATTATAATTAACAATATATATATATTTTTTTAATGTCTAAAATGTATGCAAAATTTTTAATAAATAATACTATAAAGTTCTTAAAAATTTGTTATATTTTTTAAATTATTTTTAATTTTTTTTTATAAATCAATCAAATTGGCTAAATGTATCTAATATCAATATTTGAATTTTATTTTTAAAACATTTAGAAATAAAAATAACGGTTGGATCAAAAATATTGATACCTAGCAATAGTATTGGTAACATATTACAATATACAACAACACAAAGAGGTCGAACAATGTTGATATATGACGGTTACAGATATGTCGAAAACCGTCAAAGCCAAAAAAATATTTTTTGGAGGTGCTCCCGTTATGTTAGATATGGTTGTAGGTAAGATTTGATTTTTTTTATGAGATTTTAAAATTTTCATCATTATTATAATATATTGTATAAGAAATTTAGAAATATATGAATTTTATATTGCAGAGCTACTGTGGTCACATCAAAAGAGGGTGATAGTATCACAATTAGGATCGCGGGTCAGCCACATACTCACGATAAAGAACTAAAATGCGATACATTATTGAATGACGATAAAGATCTATTTACCATCACAAATGATAGAGGCACATTGTATTTGTAATTATTAGTAAGCACAATAAATAGCATAATAGAATAAATTAATTATAACAGAATATCATTCAGCTGAATTAATGAGACGAATTTAACTAAAATGATGAGCCCGTAATAGCAAATATCTACAGACGTTTTTAAACAAAACATTAATTTTTTTAAAATGACTCTAAAACAATGATTGTTATTTCATTTATAAAAATTTTAAGTTAAATTTGGACAAATTTCTATTCTGAAAAACATCACGAAATATTTTTTAAATAATTTAAGTTGGTTAGACAGCAGTTTATTTAACAAAAATTTTATTAATGTTTATTCGATATTATTCGGTGCAAATAGCTTTCAATATCGAATATATAAATATAATAAATAATCAAAATAATTAAAATTTGATTGATTTAAGGTTTGTTTTGTATTGATGAAGTTATTTAAAGCTTAAATTCGTTTCTGCATTATAGAAAAGATGATGGAATTTGCTTTGTAAGTTGATGTTGTCAATATATAAAAACTTTGATTTTCGTTTTAAGGGCTTTCAATATTTCCGTTCTTAGCATGATGTCAAGAGCTGCGCGAATGCTCATATTGCAAACAAGATTAAAACAAATTATTTGGGGACATGCATTTAAAAATGATTGCTATTATTTTAACAAGTGTAAATAACTATACGACTGTATATTAAAAATAAAAACTCTTAACAAAAATTAAAAAAATAGCTATAGCAATAAATTTGTTTATTGCTTAAATGCTTTAAAATAATGTACATAAATATTAAAATATGACAAGATTAGCATATAAAGATCTCTTTTTCATAATTTACAAAATATAAAACATTTTTTGTAAATACGAAAATTAATTTATTTAACTATCTTGCCTGCAACTTAGCTATATGATAATTATACTTAGTTTTAAATTAGCACAATTAATATAAAATGTAAAACATAGTTTAAGCCGAGCATTATAAAATAAATAATTTTAAAAGCTTCAAAAATATTTATTATATTGATAGTGTCTCAGAATCTATAATTTTTTAAATGATTTAAAATAAAGAAAATTTTCATCAACTCTATTTATACTTCAAAAAAGCACTTCATTTATACTTATAAGTACATGTATCCGCAAAAAAATCAACATTGATATGTGTATTTCTTATTCTTTATTAAAGATGGTATTTTATGCTGTATCTTTTAAAAATTTAAGGAAGTTTTCCTTACTTTAAAATTTTTAAAAGTTTATTTATATTCAAAAATGGAAATATTTGAATTGATAAAAAAAAAATGATACAAAAAAATATGTGTAGAAAATTGATAATTATACTGTAGTACATAATTTATTTTCACAATTCAAGCTGAGCTTGACTTGGAAATAAACAAACAACATTAATAGAATCTCATAATTTGCATTTCAACTTAAAATATCCAAAATTTCACTGAACTTCTTAAACACAACTGTGTCTTCCTTTTGAGCTTGCGCGATGCGTTCAGCGTCAGATTCGTGGTTATGTACGCCTAAAAAATTATAATTTAAACATTTGAAACTAAAAGGAAATTAATTAGTTTTTGTTAATATAAAGTAATTGATATTGATGACTTCATTTAAAGCTACTGTTTTTAGTTTCAAAAAATTGAATTGATATTGTTTAAACTTTTTCCGTTTACGTAACATGCAAAAAACCAAGCCTTTAAATAAAATATTCGATTACTTACCATTGGTCACGTGCAATTCATTTCCAACAGTTTTTAATCTACTTTTACATTTAATGCTTCTGTTATAAACACATTCCCAATAGATTTTGTTTAATTCCTTTCCTAAGTGCTTAAAGTTTGATCGATAAATAAATTCATTAAATACTAACAACATTCCTCCTTTCCGACTAAATATAAAAGGTTGAACTTCATCTTTAGATAAAAGTGTTTCTCTTTTTACTTTTCTTATACCTATTTATAAAATCACATCAAAATAAAATTTAATATGAAAAAACACAATTAAAATCAAACATAAAAGTAAAAATATTTAAAATATACAGTTAAAACTTATAAATAAAGAATAAACTTTTAAACTAATTCATACAGTAATATGAAGCAAGTTAGTTGTTAAAATATATTTATATATGTATGTATAAAACTTTAAATATTTTGTTTTTTTAGAATTTATTACAAATATTAGTGTCAATTTAATTGCATAGTTTAATTTAATGACTAAGAGAAATGTTTTTTGTTAAGATAACTTTATTTTTCAAGTTTAAAATGAATTACAAATTTTTGGAAATTTTATGTATATATATATAATTAACATTAAAAATTTTAAATTTCTAAAATAAGGCATCTTAATCATTTATTCTTTATATAATAATTTATTTGAATATAAAATATGTAATTTAATACCGAAATAAAACAGAAAATATCTAATTTATCATTTTTAAAAAAATTTTTAATTATTTTTAGGGGACTGCAGATTTTTTTTTTAAATTTATACCTATGTATGCATTTAGAGAAAAAACAAATGAAAGGCAACTTAGAATAAGCTACAAAAATTTAATGGTAATTTATTTTAATAAAAAATTATTTCTAAGGCCGGAAGTTATTTTTTTAAAAGAAAGCGGCTTAAGCGCGCTTTAATTTTTTTTCTAAAATCTTCTGGACTCATGGAATCATCATCTTCATTATCATTTTCATCGTCTGGGTTTATATTCATAATTTGCATTTCATCAGCTTTACTTGATGTTGTTTGCTCAAAAGAGACATTTAAATTAGCACCTAAAGAGTTTTCCTCTTTAGTGAAGGCATATTTTGGTGGAATTGACGGTGAATCTTTTTTTGATGCGGTCAATCTTCTTATGGGAGATATTGAACGTTTCTCTTTTCTCGTCTGAGGAGAGGAATTTATCTCAGACGCCTCTGCAACAGATTTTGGTGCCGATTTCATAATTAATGTTGTTGGTGTTGTACTTTTGTCAAATGCTAAATCGACGTGACAATGCTCTTGGTCAATTTCATATGCTCGTTCATTGCGTACTACGACTTTAGCTTTGCACTGTGCTTGTTTACCATTTTCGTCATTTTGTATATAAGAACATTGATAAATTCTACAATTAAAAAATTAAAAATCTCAATTGATTAAAAGCAAATACAATGTGTATACATATGTATATTTACGTACGATAAATTATTTCTCTTGAAGGAATATTTGTAATGATGCCCCTTAAATGCTAATTTCATTGCACCTTTAGTTGAAGATATGAAAACTACTTGGTAGCTTTCACCTAAAGAAAAATAATCATTTTATTTTTTTGTTCTAATCACAATAAATATTACCTTTCAGCGCATCTTGTATTTGGTCTTTAATTGTCCTCTTTTTAGCTTTTCTCTTCCTTACAGGGGACTCCAAATCGTTTTTTATGTAAATGTATTCTGTAAAATAAAAATTTATATTTACAATTAGTGATGATGCAAAATTATTAACGTCTTATAAAAATATTATCGAACTTAAAACCAAGTAAAATAAAACAAAAATATTATTTGAAACCAAATTTATTAAACATAAAATTAATAACATTGAATAAATAATAATTGATATTTAATTACAAAATCCTGGTGGGAAAATTTTTAATCCATCTGAAATAAATAAAAAGTTAGTAAATTTATTTTGTTCTCACTTTTCCGAATTGATTTTAAATTCCAACTTTACATTATTTTAATAGTATTTATTAATACACATAAATTTTCCCATGTTTTTCTTTTTATTATGTCAAATGTAAAAGCTTGCAACTTGAGTTTTCCATTTTAAAAGTTGAACAAGGTGGTGATATTATTTTTTTCACTACAATTTTAAAATTTTAATTTTATTAAAGCACTTAACTATCAATTGACTTTGGCATCCTAACCCTTAAACTTAAGAATATTATAATTGTATATTACGAGTATATTTAATTATAAAAATGGAAAACTACAATTCCGAAATTTTTACACAAATTTTATTCCTCAAGCCTACTCTAATTCTATGACAATTTGTTAATGACGTTCAAATTTTTTACTCAAACCGAATTTGTAATAGAGCTTATAAATTTACATACTAAAACTCAAATGTTGATTCCTCAAGCCTACTTGAATTCTATGACAATTTGTTAATTGTTGCTGAATTTGTAATAGAGCTTATATATTTACATACTAGAACTAATTACAAACTAGAACTCTATACTACCAAAACAATTTGACGTTAATTTTCAAAATTATGTTAATTTTATGCCGGAATTCAAAGAAAATTGTTCAGATCACATGTTCCATCTGGTATAATATTTGGCATAAAAGCTTTATTTGAAAAAAAAATTCATTGATTTAATAAAATATCAATAAACCTAATATTTTATTTATACATCCAATAGATGTTAAAAGATGGCGCATTGATTGAAATAAAAAACATCACGGCCATTTTGTGCGCGAAATTTTTGAGTGAATGTGATTCGGATCTAGTACATAGTCAGTTTTTTTTCGATCGCGTACGTTTGTTTTTTTTTTCATTTTTAATAAAGTTAAATTTCAAAAATTGCTATACAACTATTTGATTTTTTAAGTATCTATCTAGTTATCTTAGAAAATTTAAAAAATAAAAAAAAATAATAGTGTAAAATAATTAAGTTATTGTGCATTGTATCTGGGATAAAAAAAATGTATAATGTATGTAGTACATAATATATAAGAAAATACTTCTGTAAATTATTTGTGCATTGTGTTGATATGTACATACCTATATTACATATTTGTTTTTTTTTTTAAATTTTTAATTATGTATATTTGCTGAAATTTTTGAAAGGATTCGTAAAGGTAAGTGCAATTGCTTTTAATAAGAATTAATGCTGATTGAATATTTTAGGCAATATGTTACGCCACTATAATTTCTATCAATACAACAAATATATCAACACAACTACATACATAAGTATGTTCATACATAATATATAATATGTTGTATCTATATACATAAATTATGAACATATAATTTGAGAGTTTTTCTCAAAAGAAATATTTTTCATTGAATATTTCCTAAACTCGGTTCAAGGAAATATATACATACATATATACTTATTTATAAACTAATGTGAATAATATTTTATTTTACATAAAATTGAAAAAACTAATGATAGCACTGTTATTTTGAATAAATGTGGAAGCAAAATATAAAATGAAAATAAATTAATATGCGAATGTACATAAAAGTCTGGATACGCAACGTGAAAATACTTAAATATATACAAATATACATGTGCATATATACGTGCATGATAGGAAATAAAAATATGTACTTGTTTTAATTATTAAAATAAACTTAAAATTTTAAAATTTGTCGGGCATATACATATATTAAAGGCTATTTCAAAATAACTTCAATACTTTGAAGAAATTCAATCAGCATATTTTGTTTTTAGATATCCAAACATTTTATAGCTATATTCAAGTAATTTAAATTGTAAACAATTTTCATATATAGATAGGATCTACCTTCCTATTTAGTAACTGAAAAACACTAAATGATCTTTATTGTGATATTTTGATACGCAGTAGTTGTATCACATGAAGTGGTACTACCACGTCTAAATTCTGGTACCTAGTCAAAGACGTGACAGTTGTTGTAGTACCAACTTGAAATATGAATTCAAATGTTAGAATCATTTCGTGTGCTGTTTCTGTACAACTTTTCATACTACGTAATAGTCACTTATTTTCACCTGAATATTCGAATTCAACAGGCCACCACGCTTAGGTCTTTTGTTTAAACTTTAAAGTATAATAAAATGAAAAAAATAGTGAAATTAGTAGTTATAAAAGATATTTAATTAATAATTTTATATTACTAATTTTTCTCTATAAATTTTACAGAAGAAAAAGGGTAACAAATACGAAGCAATTTAAAACTAGTAATAAAATTAGTGGTAGATCAGGATTGCCAAAAGTTTTTCGGGATAGTCAAGCAAGAATTAGAAATTTTCTTTAAAGAATCTCAAATTATATTTTAAAAAATTTTTTCGAAATTCTGAAATACTTTTAAATTTAAAAATTTTTTGTTGTATTTTAATATTTAAATGCATATTTATGTGCAAAATTTCTTTGAAATGCTGTAGGAAATTGCAGGAAAACTAAAAAATCAAATCTATTTTACATGATTACCAAAAAGGTATATAGGAGGTGACGTGACGTGATAGATTTTTTATCACATTAGTTATGATAGTTTTTTTTAATACGTTAGTGACGCGACTAACAGAATATGTCATTTTCATATATACTATATCATATATTTTCATATATGTCATTTTCAGTTCAGTTCAGTCAGTATATGTCATTTTCATTAGTACTTCTATATTTTTCATATATGCATGCACCTATATGTATAAGTCATGCCAACTGTACTGACTATAATAGAATGTCATGCCAACTAAAATTCCTTATTCATTTCAATTTGCAATAATCTGTTCTTTGAGTTGATCACTTTTCAAAACACCCATAAAAAACTAAGTGTCTCAATTTTAATTTTCAAAAATGTGACAGAAAATCTGACGACAAAAAATTAAGACACTATTGTTTATATACATATATGTATGTACGATAAAATCTAAGATTAAATCTATGATAAGGTTTTATGACTACATATTTCCATACCACACTGACATTCTCAAATGGAACTTAAACTTTTCGTCAAAATTTTATAAATCAAAATTAAATCATAAAATAAAAATTTAGTCAAAATAAAAATTAGCTGATCGCTGCTCCAAACTTTAATAAAAAATTAACTGCCACCATTTTACTTTTAAAAAATCTTTCAATTTAAATATCAACTCTGGAGTTTTGTTAATTATTTTAAAAATCTGTTAATAAAAAAAATCTCAAATCTGTCAAATATTTAAAATCTTTAAAATATTTATAAAACCTTAAAATCTGATAGGTATCCCTAAAAAAATGTTTGAATTAAGTAATTTTAGTGTTTATACTTCATTTAAAATGATATGTAATGGAAAAAATATAGAAAATTGATGTCTCAGAAAACATATTGGAATTCTAAACTAATATGTACAAAATATTTAAACTTGAGTATAGCTTATTATTTATCAATATTTCAAATTTTATTGCAATATTTTTATTCATCGATAGATAAAAATCTCTTTTATTTCCTAGTTTATCTTTAATTCTTTAGTTAAATAACTAATATTTACTAGTATTTTGAACACAACTAAGTTGGATATTTCCTTCCTTTTTCTTTTTTGTGTTAAGACAATTAATTGTTAAGGTTCAGTAAAAATAACTTTTTTAAAGTCTTCAAACTTAAACAAAGTTTTTTTTTAGACCAATTGTAATAAAACTAAATTTTTATATTATATTTAAATATTGCAATAAAAAGAAATATTTTAGAAAATTTTCAAAGTTGAGATGAATTTTCTAAAAAAAAGCAAAATTAAATTTGTTTCTTTTAATTTTCTTGCTTCTTTTTTGCTTATTTAATTTTACATGTTTATTTCTTAGTTTTTATCGAAATTTCATCTCAATTTCATTCAAATTTTATTAGTAGAAAAAAAAATTAAAATACAAAAATTTATTTATTATTATTATTTAAAATTAAATATTTTCACTATCAAAGTTGAAGAATTTTTCAACAGTTAGGGACATTAAGGTAGGTCTGCTAGGAATTTTAAACTAATATTTTACATACATAACATTTAACATATTCTAAGTAAAAATTTGTTTTTGTTTTCGTTTTTAATTTGGATGCGTTTTCCAATTAACGATATAAATATTCAATGCACAAGTACAAAATTTCTGTAAGTGAAAAATTAATTGGTGTGGAAATTGTTTTGAAAAATAGTGTACAAATATGGTTTTAAATTGAAAGTTTTGTATTCTTCAAATAAAACTAAAATGTTATTTGAAAAAAATTAAAAAGGTGTTCTTAGGTTGTGTGCAAAATATTGGCAATCGCAAATCTTTTTTTTTAATTTTAAATCTATCTTTGAGGTAAGTAACGTAAATAAGGTAAGTAAGGTAAACAAAAAGGTCAGTTTCGTAAATTCCAAAAAAATTCAAAAATATAATGATTACTAAAATAAATTTTGAAGCTCTAGTTACATTAAGTAAAAAATATAACGTTCCTAACACACTAACTAAACAATTTGGTTAATAGCAATCGTCTAAAAATCTATAACTATTTTATAATGGTTGTACATAATTATTATCAATTATTTTCTAATTTCCAGTCTAATAATCGAAATTCATAATTATAGTAAATGATACTATAGTTATGATTCCAAATTAATTTAATTATAAATTATAATTAAATCAAATATAATATGTATAATTTATTAGAATTTTGATTCTATTAAATTATATTCTAATAAATGTTATTTTATATTTCAGTAAAATTTTTTAATTTTATTTATCATAGTCATGAATTGATGACTTTTGATCTCTTCTTAAATATAGCAAAAATTATATTACTATACTACAGTCAATCAATTCAAGGAAAATTAGTTCCTTTAGGAATTAAAATGCTTTTTTAGTAACTTCAAAAAGAGTTTCTATGTGTTATAGACTGAAAATTCAAATTAGAAATTAGCACTTCATTTATAAAAACAAAAAAATTTATAAAAAAAATATAAAGCCTTAGTTTTTAGAATTCTATTAATACCTATAGTTTCGAAATATCTGGTAAAAATGCATTTATAAAATGTAAGTTAGAAATTTTTGAACATGTGAATATATAAAGGCATATCCACATTTATACGATCGGGAATTTCAACCTTAAGATAAAAATATCCGTATATTTATGATAAATAATCGGAAATTAACAAAATTTTGATTTGAGTTTGAAAATTGAACATTAACTTGATTTGGCGTATTATACTATAATAACGGATCTGTTCAATTCTGCTATTATATAATACTTATTCTTATAGGAAAAAATTCAAAAAATCGTTTAAAATTGAAACAAAATTTTAAATGAATAGAAAA